AGAGAGAACTCTGTGAGATCACTTCCTTTTCCTGCCTTGGCAGGAAGCTGTATATCACGACATTCTTCCTTCCTGCCTGGGCATCCCTCTCTTTCTTCATGATTCTTCCAAGGCGACCTCATGGGCATGTTTGAACTTACATTTTGTATTTTTGTAATTTTATAGTAGCTTTAAACCAGCCTTCATTTTGCTACTGTAAACAGCAACTTCAAGACCTAGGTTATGTAAGGAAATACTTTTATTTCATAATAAAGCAATGTGTTTTATTGTTTTTAAGGGGGAGAAAAGGGGTAATGCCAGGAAAATCCAGTCTGCCTTAAAGCATCCTGGATTATTGTTTGTAGAATGTTAGAATCAGCCTTGTCTTAGCTTCCATGTTTAATCCATTCCACATTTTTTTACATTTGTATGGAAGACTAGTCCACACACTCAAATGCCTTTCTCTGTCTTCTATCTGGACAAGCAAGCTACAGTATCAGAGCTCCTGGTGACATTCCTGCCAGGGGAGAACATTCCAGAAAGGGCGCAAAGCAGGGCTGGTAAGGAGGCGTGGCCAGAGGAGAGTGGGGGTGGGGCCTGGAGGCCGCATTTGGCCTCTGGGCTCAGAGACTTTAGACTCTCAAATTTCAGTCACGCCCTGTGTGGCGCTAAAATTTGGCACTCCCTGCAGTGCGCCTCTCATGCTCTGTTCTACAGTGTTGTTTTGGTGCCTCTTGCCGCACGGTGCCCAGGTCGACTGCACTGGTCGCTCTACCCAAAAACCACCTCTGCTGTAAGCACACAGCTCATGCACAATCTGCACTGTTACCCACATGAGAGAATAGGAGACTCGTAGAGCTAGAAGTCAAACTGCTCCTGCTGTGGCTGTAGAGACTGATACAGGAGAGACATGTTTTGTTGCAGCTGGGGCAGATGAAGGCGTCCGGTTGTGCTGCTGCAGATGCACTGTGGACTTTCTTCTCTCTGTGCTCCTCCCAGTGGTCATTCCTCCTCTGGTCACTGCTCTGGATACACAACCTGACTGCCTGTCTCCAGGCACTGCGGTCGTCTGCAAGGGATTCCCACGCTGTGGGATTGATGCTGCCAGCCTTCATGTCACGTTTGAAGATGGTCTTCATGACACAGAATTGGTGTGCCAACAGGCCTGGTTCCAGAAGCATCCTTGGGGATCCTGCCATCTTCCATTCTGTGGACCTGACCAAGCCAGTGTAGACGTCACCAAGACAGGAGTGCGAACATGCTGGGAACGTGGACTTGGGAGAGCACATCATTATCTGACACTGTCCTTGCACCCGCCATTGTGTACTCCTCCATTGTGTCCCAGAACAGACGGATGCCAACAACATCTTTTTTTTTTTTGGAATATGCTTTTTATTAAGTTTTCATTGTAAATACACCAACACGAACAAACAAATATTTCAGGTCTTTTTACATCTGTCTTACTTTATGCTCCATAGAGCCGTTGACTTCCCTCCTTCCCTTCCGCAGGTTTTCTTATTCCAATCCTTAGTTCACAGTTTCATTAATAGAAAACTAAACCATGACATAAGATTTATTTCAGTCCTGCTAACGTCTTCAAATTTCTACAGTTCTCACTTATATAGACCATAAGTTTAGTCCATGCTTTTTGGTACTTTGTTTCCTCCTGACCGTGAATCCTATGTGTCAGCTTTGCTAATTCCACGTACTTGACCAACTTTGTCTGCCACTCCTTTACAGTCGGTTATCGCCTGTGTCTTCCACTTTTGGGCTGTCAAAACTCTGGCGGCTGTCGTAGCATACATGTATAGTCTTTGGTCCGTCTTCTTAATGATGCCAACAACATCTTTACACTCGTGTCCCTCTTCCACAGAGCTGCATCCAAGTATGCAAGACAGCCTTGTCAGTTTCCCTGATGTCCTGCCTGTTGGGTTGCCCTTGTAGCTCAGGTTTTGCTACGCACAACCATTTATGGGGAAATGAAATCCCTCCACTGAAGGACGGGACCAGGGACTCGACTACTTTCACCTGAGACCGGATGGATGAATGGACGGCACGGAGAAAAATCTTCCTTTGACCGTGTCTGTTTCACTGGATGGAGAGAGGAAATGGCGGTGGGGCTGTTCGGCGGACAGATCACAGCGGCTGCGGTGTTACACATTGCTTGGCTATCACCAAGATCATGGGGAGGCAAACTAAGGCCCGGGGGCCGGATCTGGCCCAATCACCTTCGAAATTCGGCCTGCAGACGGTCCAGGAATCAGCGTGTTTTTACATGAGTAGAATGTGTCCTTTTATTTAAAATGCATCTCTGGGTTATTTGTGGGGCATAGGAATTTGTTCATTCCCCCCCCCCTCAAAATATAGTCCAGCCCCCCACAAGGTCTGAGGGACAGTGAACCGGCCCCCTGCTGAAAAAGTTTGACCAAGCTCATCAGGGGGACAGGACAGCGTCTCCATCTCTGGCCACAAGGCAATATAGACCAAGTGAGCTTTTTTTCATCTGAGATAGCTGTCAGTGGGTGCAAGGAAAGCATGAATGGTTGTAATGCAAATTCACTAAGGTGTGTGAGGGGGGGGGAGGGAGTAGGGGGATGAAGGGCATGAATCATTGAACTGAAGGGACCCCCAGGGTCATCCAGCCCCACCCCCTGCAATGCAGGAATGTTGATGGAGGTGATTTCAGCCTGGGTGCAGTGGCGTAGCGTGGGTTGTCAGCACCCGGGGCAAGGCAAGTAATTTGCGCCCCCTAACCCGTGGGGGTAGGGGGCGCAGGTAGGGGCAGAGAGCTGCGAGTGCGAGCGCGTGCCCCCCAGATGTTGCGCCCGGTGCGGCCGGCCCCCCCTGCACCCCCCACGCTACGCCACTGCCTGGGTGGTGCCGCTTCGCCAGGCAGGAAAGAAATCCTGCAATGCTAAACTTTTTTAAACCATGGCAGCAGCAGCAGTTCGTCCTGGGTGGCGCAGGGGTGGGTGTGCCCCCCCATGAACAGTTGTGCCTTGCCCTCTTCCTCCCCCCCTCCTTTCTCTCCGTCTAATTTCCACCCGATCTCAAGACAAAAGCAGACAAGCCTATAGGAACATAAACTTCTGCAGCATGAATAAGGGGATCAGGTTGCTCTCTTTCTCTCTCTCTCCCCCCCCCACTCTTTCTTCCCCACGTGACTTTCTCAGGAATCTTTGCCAGCAATATCACCACCACAGCCCCTTTTCCCTGGGTCCATTTTCGCACTGCATGGGAGAGGGAGGTGGAGGAGAACCTCTTTAAAAAAAGAAAGGAAGGAAGGAAGAAAGCCAGGAGAGAGGAAGAGAAGGACGGACCTTGCCCCTCTCCCTCCTACGGAGAGTGGATTTCGACTACAGGCGCCTTGGAGAGTCCTTGCGGCTGCCTGCCTGCATGTGTGCCTTGTGGTATCTCTTTTGCAAATCACCTGCAGACTGAAATTATCCTCTCTGCTCCCAGGACGTATTGCAGGGGGAGCGTTTTAAAAAATCCCCTATTTTTGCGCGGATCTGCTACGCTAAAGAGGGAGAAATTCTACCATCTCACACGCGCGGCGAGGCGGAGGGAGGGGAGGGAAAGCCCCGCTTTAAAAAAACCAAAACGCCTGCTGTGTTTTCTTTCTGGAGAAACGCCCCTCTTTCTCTCCCCCTCTCCCTAACCAGCCAGGCAGCCTCTCCTTGCTGCCTTCGCAGGAGAAGCGGCGCGAGAGGAGATCTGTTTCTGGAGGGGACCTGCAAAGTTTCCTCGAGGAGCCCCCCCAAAAGAGGGCGAGGAGTGGAAGAAGGATCCGGGCGGGGTGGGAAGGGGGCGCGCTTTGGCGCTGTGCCCGACCCAGGGCGCGTGGCGCGCCAGGCGGAGGATCCGCAAGATCCGAGGCGCCTTTGTGGGTGGCGCGGCGGCGGCGCCCCAAAGTGGACTTTGAAAAGGAGGGAGGGTCTCCGAGATAGAGAGAAAGCAGGAATTAAGAGGGCGAGGAGAGGGGCGAGAGGTCTCCTCGCCTCGGGTGTTTGTCGACCAATCGCTCCGCCGGGGGGAACTTTGCCGGGCTGGGGGACAACTTGGAGAGGGCGGCAGCTCTCCGAAGAGACGCGCGGCGGCGGTGGCGGTTCTCGTCCTGCTCCTTCCCCCGGATCCGTCCCTGGGCGCAAAGGTGACCCACCGCCGGGTGATTTACGGCTGCTCTCTGCCCTACGGCTCGCCCGCACTGTAAATACGCGCTGGGGTCGCCAGAGCGCGGAGAGAGCCTCTTCCTCTCCACCAAGACGGGAGCGCAAGGCTGGGGCGCCACCTGACATCTCCACGAACCCCAAAAAACCAGGGATTCTTCCCCACCCCTCGGAACCAAAAGCGTGTGTACCTGCTGTTAGTTTTGTTCCTGGGATAGAAAAAGGCTTTGATTCCCCCCCTAAAAGCTGCCTTCGGATGCTGCACGAAGCTCTTGCTGAGAGAAGGTCCTTTGGGGCTTAAGAAAAAAGAAACAATTTCCCCCCTTTTAAAATATAACCTCTGCTTAACTATGGATTTCCTGGCGGCGTGGATGCGTCTCCTGCTCGTCTTGGTTGCCTTTGCAGTTTTGCCCCATCAGGCTGAAGGTGAGTAAAAGCTTCAGCTCTGGACTTCATTGATTTCGCTTTACAGAGAGAAGTTGGGCCGCTTAATGAGATTCTGCGGCGAGGTTTCCCTGCTGAAGTTGGGCTGGGGATGATCTATGGGGCTGGCACCGTCTTGCTTTTTTATTTTTAGTTTTTTTAAGCAACAAGCCCGACCACCACCACCACCTGAGAATCTCTGTGATCCTCTTGAGGAAGAATGCTTAGGGGACTCTCCCAAGAGCAAAAAATGCTGCTAAGTCTCTGTGTTAAGTTGCCCAGAGCCCGCAACTCTTCTTGGCTTAAGAGCACAAGAAGTGCATTGTAGGATCAGACGAAAGCGCTTAGGAAGCTGCCTTATCACCAGTTCATCTAGCCTGGTATTGTCTACACTGACTTGCAGGCAGGAATTCTTATTCCAGCCCTATCTGGAAATGGCGGGAATTGAACCCGGTACCTTCTGTGCGCAGAGCAGCTCTTCTGCCACAGATCGGTGGCTCCGTCATACAGATGGAGCTGGTTTATCCTGAGTCAGACCCCTGTTCTGTCTACTTCAGGATTGTTTTATGACAGGCTCCCTAGAGATGAGAGCAGTTCGACTCTCATGAGAAGTGCTGGAGGTTTTAAAGCAGAGGTTGGAGGGCATCTGTTATGCATGATTTAGTTGAGATTTCTGCATTGTCTGGGGTTGGTCTAGATGACCCTCGGGGTTCCCTTCCAGCTTTACAATTCTATGATTCTATCTGTAGTCACTAGGGACAGTGAACCGGAGACCTTTTTGCATGCAGTGCAGGTGCTCTACCACTGAGCCACACCCCTTTGAGGTCTGCTTAGCCCGGCAGCCACCAGAAATTGCACCCCAGTCTCCCTTATGGAACTATCTATTGCAGGCACCCCCAAACTTGGCCCTCCAGCTGTTTTGGGACTACAGTTCCCATCATCAATTCCCAGTGGGACTACAATACCCACTGGTCCTGTTAGCTAGGGATGTTGGGAGTTGTAGTCCCAAAAACATCTGGAGGGCCAAGTTTGGGGATGCCTGATCTAGTGTCTGCAAAGAGCATTTAATCAATTGGATCAAGCCTAGGCACCCTCCCTTATCATTTTTGCACAGGCAGTGTAAAGAGCGTGGCAGCAAACTTGCCAAATGCGTGGTTGTTCGTTCTTTTTTTACAACAGCGTGCCCTGAACATCTTTGAACTACTTACTTCAACATTCAGTACCCCCTTCTGAAGTTCTGCCTTTAGGTGGCACACCTTGAAAAGCAGAATGCTTTCCATGCCCTCTGATTTCCAAATTGCTCTTCAGTCTTGCCAGAATATGTCATGTGCCAGCATTGTGAACCCAGGAAGGTCCATTACCCTGAGTTGGACCATCACACTTAGTGTTGTCTGCACTGGCTGGCAGTAGCTCACCAGGGTTTCAGGTAGGAGTCTCTCCCAGCTTCACCTCGAGATGCCAGGGGTTGAACCCGAGACCTCTTGCTCCACTGGGATGCAGTCCTTCCCAAGGGATAGAATCATGGAATTGTAGAATCGAGTTGGAAGGGATCCAAGGGTCATCTAGTCCAACCCCCTGCAGTGCAAGAATATGCAACTGTCCCAAACGGGGATCGAACCTGCAGCCTTGGTCATATCTGCACCACGCTGTAGCCAACTGAGCATATCCAGGCTGCGTTTGTACATAAAGCTATGGAGGGTACCTAGCTTCCAGTGCACCTTTAATAGATGCGTAACCCACAATTAGGGGTAGGGACGCGGGTGGTGCTGTGGGTTAAACCACAGAGCCTAGGACTTGCTGATCAGAAGGTCGGCGGTTCAAATCCCCGCGATGGGGTGAGCTCCCGTTGCTCGGTCCCTGCTTCTGCCAACCTAGCAGTTCGAAAGCACGTCAAAGTGCAGTAGAGAAATAGGTACCGCTCTGGCGGGAAGGTAAACAGCGTTTCCGTGCGCTGCTCTGGTTCACCAGAAGCGGCTTAGTCATGCTGGCCACATGACCCAGAAGCTGTACGCCGGCTCCCTCGGCCAATAAAGCGAGATGAGCACCGCAACCCCAGAGTCGGCCACGACTGGACCTAATGGTCAGGGGTCCCTCTACCTTTACTTTAACCCACAACTGGCTGTATAAAACCAGCTCCTTTATGCTTTCTGCCTGGCAGTAACGACATTCACACATGAGAAGCTCAAAGATGTTTGTCTGAAAGCTCTGGGAGCTGAGACATCTTCGCCCCTGGCAGTTGCTGTTACGCTTAAGAGTTTTTTTTGCTACATGTTCATTAGAAACCAGAAATGTGAAGTGAAAACGTGACTCCCTATTTACTAGTCCTATTACTATTTTGACACCAGTTCTGCACTCGACGGTGTGCAAAATATGCCCGTGTGTCGGGAGGTCTTGCCGCCTGCATTAGGCATGCCAATATCAATTTTTAGACGCCTTGTTTGTTTGGAAAACAATCCATCAAGGCAGTGCGCGGTAAACATTACGGCTGACATTACTTCGGCATGGACTACCCACCGATCCTGCCTGTTCCTGGAGCGCATGCAGGGAACAGTAAGATTTATTGCTGTCTCGGAGCAGCCTGGAGTGGAAAAAGTGGCTGGATGACATAAGGCCTGGAGAGTTTAATTGTGCATAAAAACTCTCTTACCTGCTCTCATGCTCAAGTCCCCCCCTTCTTACTCCAAGAATCGTTTCACCCACAAAAGCCACATTTCTGATCCCAGCTTCGTGCTTTGCTGCCATTTGACCTGGGTGCGTGCTTGATTTCTCTTTACTTCACCCAATAATCTCTAGTTCTTTGATTTCTCTGAACTCGGCGATTCTCTGCTGAACGCGTGAGCTGCCTCCGCTGCTTCTTGGAATTGACTTTAGGGGATACGGGCCTTTGGTCTGTGGCGATTACTCCTGGGGTGGCTCACAAAGACCTTGCTTGATGCCACAGTCAGTGATGATGCAAGCATGGACTGGCCATCAAAGTACCAGGGAGAGGGTTGTAGCTCAGAGGTATAGCATCTGCCTTGCAAGCAGAAGGTCCCAAGTTCAGTCACCAGGTAGGGGGAAAAATGCCTGAAATCCTGGAGAGCTTCTGTCAGTCAGTGTGGACAGTACAGTGGTACCTTGGTTCTCAAACACCTTGGTACGCAAACAACTTGGAACCCAAACACTGCAAACCCGGAAGTAAGTGTTCTGAGTTGCAGACTTTTTTTGGAACTCGAACGTACTCTGCTTTGTGTGTTACACTTCCGATTTGAGTGCCACACTTCCGTTTTGAGTGTTAACGCTGAGGTCTGTCTCTTTTTGCTATTTATTTTGCGTTTTTGTTTTTGTAACTGTGTGGAACCCAGTTCAGCTACTGACTGATTGATTGTGTGACTGCAGTACATTGTTTATTGCTTTCATTTTAGGGAACAATGTCTTGTTAAATAGTAAAATTCATGTTAAATTGCTGTGTAGGGTTTTTTTGAAAGTCTGGGACGGATTAATCCATTTTGCATTCCTTTCTATGGAAAAGCGCGCCTTGGTTTTGGAATGATTTGATTTTGGAATATACTTCCCGAACAGATTAAGTTTGAGAACTGAGGTACCACTCAGGTTAAGAACTTATTTCATTCTGGAGGTCCGTTCTTAACCTGAAACTGTTCTTAACCTGAGGTACCACTTTAGCTAATGGTGCCTCCTGCTGCCACCACGCTGCCGCTGCACAATTTCTGTTCTCATCCTGAAGCAAAATTCTCAACCCGAGGTACTATTTCTGGGTTAGTGGAGTCTGTAACCTGAAGCATCTGTAACCTGAAGTGTCTGTAACCCGAGGTACCACTGTACTAAGCTTAGTACATGGCAGCTTCCTATGATTTTTGCTGAGTCTGCAAAATGTCCGGGAAAACCTAGATGTATGGCAAGTAGGGCGATTAAAATAATACTACTAATAAAAATGCTATAAAATGTTTTTAAAAGCCAAAAACTTAGTTTGGGCAGAGGTGGTATACATTTGAGAGAGTCTTAAAAAAAGCTCAACAATTCGGGGGTCTTATGCCTGCTTAGTTTTCATCCAAGTGAGAGCCCCTGGTAGAACTTTGTAAATCGAAGCTCCCTTCTCTCGCTTGCTCACTTTAACCAGAATTCAGGCTCTTCAAACAAAGCGATTGGCTGGAGGTTAGAGATGAAGGGAGCCACTGTGCAAATTATAATTAACTTGTGGAACACGTTTCCACAGAATCTGATGATTCCAACTAACTTGAAGGGTTTTTAGTTCACAGAGGATAGATCTATTTAAAAAAGGTTCATGGAGAACCAGTCTTTTAGCTATTAATGCTGAAAACTAAAAACTTTAAAAAAATTGAACCTCTCTCTACAGTGGCAGTCTATATGAGGATCAACGAAAGGACAAGGCTACCACTTTCACACTCTGTTGTGAGCTCCTAGAAGCTGTTTTGGGGAAAATGCAGTTTGGGTACACATTATCGTTTACTCTGGCCCCAGTGAGCTCACACAACCTTATCCACAGTGAAGAGCTATCCCATAGTTTCTTGAGGAATGCTGCTGTTTGATGCATTTCCCGCCAAACCAGCTTTAACCAAAGCCACGTCCACTTTGCGGTTAAGCAGAGGTGCGTACATTTGAGAGAGCCGCTGCGCATCATGCTCAGATGACACCTTCATGAACAGTGTGTGAATGCAGAGGAGAGGGGGAAGCTAAACAGGTAATGTGCAACAGGTGAAGGCATTCCCTCCCCCTCTCTGGGATGTGCAATTGCAACTTGAAATGCAGTGGGAAGGAAACAACCTCACTGGGTTTTAAACCACTGGTGTTCACATAACCACAGAGTTCAGGTGTCCTGATGGGATACGTTGCTTTAGCTCAATGTCCACCAAAAGCTCTGCGCATCCCTATTCTTTTGCTAGCCTTCACTAACAAAATGTTGTTCAGCTGACCAGTCCGTGGACTAGGGAGCGGAGTTCTTGCCTGCTATTTCCACCTCCCGGACCTCCCTCTGTTTAGCTAAACCTGTGAACCCAGCAGACAAAATACCGTATTTTTTGCTCTATAAGACTCACTTTTTCCCTCCCCAAAAGTAAGGGGAAATGTGTGTGCGTCTTATGGATTGAATGTAGGCTGTGCAGCTATCCCAGAAGCCAGAACAGCAAGAGGGATCGCTGCTTTCGCTGTGCAGCGATCCCTCTTGCTGTTCTAGCTTCTGAGATTCAGAATATTTCTTTTTCTTGTTTTCCTCCTCCAAAAACTAGGTGCGTCTTATAGAGCGAAAAATACGGTATGTGGATGGTTTCTTTTGGTTTTTTGCAGGCTTTCCTCCTGATTGTGTGTTCAGACATTGTGCACGCAGACAAGCTGTATGTACGAGCTGCGCATAGGCTCTTTCCACGGGTTTGGCTGAACAGATGGGGAGCTGAACCGGTAGGCATGATTCCTCCTTCTGTGTGTGCAATATATAAGGAGCAGTCATCTGAATAGAGCTCACGAATGTGAAGCTTTAAGGGAAGGGCTGTTTCTCAGTGGCAGAGAACATCTGCTCTGCATGCAGAAAAATAAAAATAAAAATTTATTACTTATACCCCGCCCATCTGGTTGGGTTCCCCCAGCCACTCTGGGCGTCTCCCAACAGAATATTAAAAACACAATAAAACATCAAACACTGAAAACTTCCCTAAACAGAGCTGCCTTCAGATGTCTTCTAAAAGTCAGATAGTGGTTTATTTCCTTGACATCTGATGGGAGGGCGTTCCACAGGGAGGGTGCCACTACCAAGAAGGCCCTCTGCCTGGTTCCCAGGTTCAGTCCCTGGCATCTGGGAGAGTCCCAGAATACTTGAAATGCCCTCTATAAATGTTACGCCATAAATATCTCTCGCCGGTGAAAATAGGCAATGTGGCAGAGGTGGTTTGAACACACATCGGATGCCCTGAAAACAAATGTTTGTGCAGACAAATGACTTCCACCCCACTTAAGTTTAATTGCAATCTGAGTTGACTGTTTTTGCTTTCCTACTTAAGAGGGGTCCTTTTTAACTCTCTATATGCTGCCCTTCAATTTAGCAAAATCTCAGGGTAATTCCAGGTGATGTTCTGAAGGCAGAGGCGCATATGCGACTACGCATTTTGCTGAAGCTAAGCAGGTCTGGGTCTGGATGGGAGACCGCCTGCATATTGGAAGAAAAGTGGGATATAAATGTAAAGAGGCAGGAATCAAATCAAGATAAAACAAGAGGGAGGGGAGGGGGAAGCAAGCAGAAGTAAAATAATAAAAGTTGATGCAGCAGGATCTGACACAAGGGACCCTTCATCCACCAGTGGCACTGATCCTGGCTAGACTGCACTTGCTGTCAATTAGTTTCTGGGCCCAAGTCAAAGTGCTGGTTTTGACCTATAAGGCCTTAAATGGCTCAGGATTGCAATGCAAGGATCGCCTCTCCCCCTATGAGCTGACCTAGCCCTTCTTTATGTGCCTCCTCCACGAGAGGTCTGGAGGGTGAGAACATGAGAACTGGGCCTTTTTTGTGGTGGCTCCCCGTTTGTGGAACACTTTCCCCAGGGAGGCTTGCCTGGTGCCTTCATTACATATCTTTAGGTGCCAGGTGAAAATGTTCCTCTTCAACTAGGCCTTTGATTAATATCCGATGCCCTTTTAAATGTGTTTTGGGGAGGGTTTGTTCGTTCT